CCAGGAATACGACTATTGTCGAACGTCTAAATGTGTGTGTGTTCCAAGACCTGTCGTAGTGTGAAGATGTGGTCTATACAACCACGTCCAGGTCGAAAACCAGCCTGGTTTTCTCGAGTCTGCTCTTCGCGAGCTCTAGTTAGACGTCTAAGTATAATCGAGGCTAACAATTTAGAAACTATATTAGTTAAACTTATTCCCCTGTGATTGTCACAAGAGGACTTCTGTCCTTTCTTGTAGATTGGGACAATTAGCGACTGAGACCAGTCAGATGGGATTTCGTCCATTTCCCAGATTCTACCTAGGATCTCGGTCAGTTTAACCGTTAAAACTGGACCACCATCCTTAAACATCTCAGGGGTAAGCCTATCAGGACCTGCCGCTCTACCTCTCCTTAGATTTCCTATAGCTTTCTCAACTTCATGTAAACTGGGAGGACTTAAATCGATTTGCCATTCAGGATGACTGGAGATAGTGGGCAACCGAAGAGTGGCTGAAGGCCAGTTGAACTGATCCCTAAAGTGTTCTGCCCATCGGTCCAGCCTCCTAGATTGAGAATGGATAATAAGACCATCCTTTTCCGAGATAGTCTCACTTACATTCGGGTTCCTAATACCGGTTTCTTTGATAAGGCGGAAAAGTTGTCTACTACTGCCGATCGCCGCTGCCTTTTCCATCGCTTTTGCTTTTGCCACCCACCACTGTTCACGGTCGTTACGTAGGCTTTTTATAAGTCTGCACCTAAGCTGACTACGCTCTTCATCATGTTCAGAGTCAGGTGGGATGCGTTTTCGAGCATCCATCAGTTCGGTGGATGCGACTGAAATCCACTGCTTCATCCGAGCATTGTGGTTTACCTTACCACGCGTGCAGTAACGAAAAGACTTGGTAGTAATAATAGTAAGTCGTAACTTGGAAACGACCGTACATTGTAACGCGACAGCCTCCAAAGGTTTCCAGGTGTTACGGTCACTTCGCCAAGCATTCAAGTGCTTTGATGAGGATATCTTTTCAGTTTTATACTCCATCTATATGAGACCCCACGTACAGTATTGCAGCCAACCATGTCTGACTAAAGATGCTATAACACTTGAGCGTGTCCAGCGTGTGGGGTAACTAACTGATGCATTTTTCCAAACTCCCTTATGATGAGCGCTTGTAGAACGCGGCGTGAGCTTATTTTGGCATTCCTTATTTTGAATAGTGATTCAAGTGTTAATATATATTTTATCTCTTTGTTCCCTATAGAACTAACCATCTCGGAGGCCACTGTAAACTTACAGAAGGATTCAGTTCTTTCACATTGAGTGTGCAATGACTGTAATGCCTGACTTGAACGAGTGGTATCAGCCTCATCAGTGAACACTTTCAAGGAACGGCTGGATCTGCACTGGAAAATAATTTGCAAGGCTTAACATAGGCCTACTGACCAACTATCTTTATTACTGGAAAATCTATTTACGATATTCTATGGCAGAGTTCAATAAGAATGAGAAGGGTGAATATGCTTACAAGTCATTTAACATGCTTGCACACAAAGGTTGTATATTGTTAGTTTTGACTCGAGTATATAATTGTGAGATTTGTTACGCATCCTTTCCAGGGAGATATTATTACCAGACTATGTCTAATAGACAAACTCCAGTCAGTCAGTCAGTCAGATGAAACATAGAACTTCGTACGTAAGTACATCAGTTCATGTTGCCATACCATATCAGCACGGAGATGTAATTGTCAATTCAAATCCAATAGTAGAAGAGGTAGTAAGGGTATTAGAAGTAATCGGAGAGGTTAGGATTAGAAGATATTATTCAAGAAGTATGATTCAGTGAGAAAAGTTAAGAAAGTCAAAACTAGAGGGGTTGAAGAATCCAGAAGATTAGCATTTGAGAGAACACAGAGAATAAATGCACCGGCGCCACTGTGAACGATTTTGAGCCATTTCATTCAAGGTCTCTAACCATCGATTATTATCATCTCGCGGACCCCAACTAGGTAGTCGACAATTACCGACACGGCTATGTCCACTCGTCAATGATTTCATGGATTTCTGCCATGTTTTGGTCTGGCCGCCCCTAACTTTCTTCCAACCTACTCCTACACTACAAAACAAGGCTCGTCGAGGCAGTCGTTCGTCGAGCTCCATTCTTCATTATAAGTATATAATTAGTTGGTGGCTATTTCTGTTTTTGAAGGCCAAAAGAAAAGGTAAAACTGAGGTTGATCCGCATGTAAACAAGGCATGGAGTTCAGTTTCAGTGAGTTCGAAGCCCTAAAATCCTATCCCTAGACCAATTACTTGAGTTTGGACAACTGATACATAAAGTGAACCATTTACACAATTATAATAATCCGAATTTTGAAACTTAAATGATATACGCGGCTCTAAGTTCTAAAACCCATGAAAACTCCAAGCATTCCAATAATCACTGAGTAACAGTTGGAACAACAGTTTATGCATCTGAGCCGAGGAGAATAGGCAGTATGACTAGTTTTCCGAGAGAATGCAACTGAATCTAAAACACAAGGACTGAAAATTTCTAGTATACGCATTTAAAATATATGATAAATGATAACCTAACCTTATTGGACTCTAATGTGGTGGTGGTGTTGGTAGATTGAGTTGTTTCCTCTCCCATTTGTTGTAAAGACATACGCAGTGCATATGCTATCTGATCTTCTTCTGACATAGCTGCCAAATCAATATCCATAGGTAAGGAAGACGATTCAGTATTATTCATTTGCATTGACATAGCCAAAGCCTGTTGAAGCATAGCTTCTTCAGATGTTCCTGATCCAGCTAGTAAAACACAAGTTAACAAAGATTACAGTTTAAATGTTGAAAACAAGATGAAGCAATATGGAGTCTAGAATAAAAGAGGTGGTTTATATATAGACTTAGAAATTTAAATAATAGAGTGAACTATACAGAATAAACCAAGCAAAAAGTACGTGTTCCATTGAGTCAAACCCGACCATAGCAGCTACCTTGACATGGTGGTCGCGCTTGCCCATTGTGATGATGTAACCGAGTTATATTGGCCGGAACAGATGTTCCTGTATTTTTTAGCATGTCAAGCAGGTCGACTGGAGAACGATGAAATTAAAAGCAGAAACTCAAGAGCTGAGGGAGAAGTCATATTGCTGACTGTAGATGAGTGTGAAAGCAGTAAGGTGTTTCCCTCGGACAACCAGCATCTGCAGCGATGTTGCCTTCTCACAAGGAAGCAAGAGGTTAGGAACGTTTGATCCTAAAAATGTCACACCTCAACTTACCTCATGGACTTCGGTCTTCGGTAGTAAGGGCTTTCAAACAACAGCAGAACTAGTACTTTAAAAGCTTCTCATACAAAGGCCGTGCGTGATCGGTCTCAAGCAGTTGTCCCTTGGGCTCTGCGGTCACGCTTCCAAGTCGTTAAGACCAACAATAGTCCATCTTCTTTTTTAGGTTCCTCAGGGAACACCCTTCCATGGTGTGGACAGCAGGGAAGTGATTTCCGCCCTCATACCCATAACAGAACACGAGGCCTAATCGGTTACAGTCAAATCCTTCCTAAAACCCCTAAAATCCCTCTTATCTCCACGTCTCGCTCTCCTCATATTTCTTTATCACCACACACCGCTAATGTGAACGATTCGAGTTCACGAAACGTCATTCCTGGTTTCCTGAAACGCCATTCTATGCTTTATGTTGGAGCTTCTAATGTACGGACATTGTGTCAAATAGGGCAACAGGCCTCATTAGCTAGGACTTAAGAATCTCGCGCCACTGATGTATGCTGCGTCTCCGAAACGCGCATACAGGACCTGAGTAGTGTCATTCACTTGACCTCACCTAGTCAAATAAGGAACCAGCCCGATCTACTCTTCGTGTATCTGGACGCCCTGCTACTGCTTCCCGAGGTCTCGCTGGTGTAGGTATCGTATTAGGTCCTAGGGCAGAACAAGTTCTCCTAGACTGCGCTGTCCAACTAAACGTGATAGTAAGGACTCGTAAAGATAGGAAAGGAACACTGGTCGTTGCCTATACTCACTCTAGACTGCAGCTCAGATAACGAAAAAGGTAAGTTGTATAAAAACCTCTCTAACCTTCTTCAAAAAGTTAAGCTCTCTGGTATAGTAATAATGACTCGTAACTTTAATGCTCAAGTACGTTGACTAAGTGCAAAAGAAAGACACCTCAGTGGATCTTATGGTGTCATGGTTCAAAGATTGGATAATGGCAACCGTCCGCTGCAGCTATGCTCAGATAATCGCCTATTCCTAGCAAACGCCAACTTTAAGCTTAGGGAAAAACATCTCTTGACCTGACGACCCCCAAAGCCGACCCAACAATGGACCCAACTAAACCTCGTTGCTACCAAACACCAGTGGAGAGGCTCCATTAAAGATTGCAGCTCATTCTGGGGTACTTGTTTAGACTGAGATCATGCTCTAGTGTGAGTGCATATTTATTTTCGGCTTACTGGACGCAGGAAAGATATCACAAGGAAACCTCTTAGGGTTCTACTGAATAATTATAAAACTAAGAATATATTTCAAGAACAACTAGAAAAACAGTTAGGGGACCATGTAGTAAGCGATGCCCACCTTGAGGTAGCTTGGAATGATATCCAAAAAGCTGTGGAAACAGCAGTGGTATCTGTTGTAAAGCAAACCATAAGGCTAGGAAGAAGCCATGAATCTCGGTAGCCTCCACTGAACTAACAGACACTCGAAAACTCATTCTTTCTTGCGCTGAGTGCAATGAGGAGCGGAGTTAGAGTTTAGGCACAGGCTGATAAGAAGCCAGCGCAACGTTCGCGAAGTGGTAGGTGGTGAAACCGAGACAGATGGAAAAGACAAACAGCCGACAAGTATTTAGACCTATCAAAGAAACCAGTGTTAGGAATCCGACTGTTAGTAAGACTATTTCAGATAAATATAAGCTTATTATCTACTCTCAATCCAGGAGATTGCACGGATGGACATAATACTTTAGGGATCAATTCAACTGGCTTGCAGCCATACTTCGGTTGCATACGATCTCCAGTTAACCTGAATGGCAAATCGATGCAAGTCCTCAGACTCTTTATAAAGTTGAAAAAGCTATAGGAAAAACTAATATAGTGTCCATAATATTAACTTGAATAATATTTGGATACCCGACTAGAGCTAGTGAGGAGCAGACTAGAGAAAACTAGGGTGGTCTCAGACCTGGACATGGCTGTTATAGACCACATATTCACTACCACAGGTCCTCGAACACAGACACTCTTCGTGGACCTTAAATCGGTATTTGACTGTCGATCGTGGGGTTCTGTGGCAGTCTGTCATCAAATGTGTACCAGAGAAGTACATTATTCTTTTAAAAGCTCTCTACTTCAACACTACAGGTCGACTTACAGCTTGTAGTGAACTGTCGTCGAAAATGAATACTTCGAGTGGTGTCCGTCAGGCATGTCTACTTTCTCCATTGTTGTTTAATTTTGTCATGGACATGCTTTTAAGTTCGACACTTGCATTATATGAATTTCCAGGAGTAGACCTTCTACCAGGAGACTCGCTTTTTGATCTAGAATATGCTGATGATATAGTTCTATTCCATGAAGACGCTGACAAAATGCAGTCTTTTGACAACTCTGAGCATCAATCCAAGCATATTCGGGATGCGGTTTTCCACCTCGAAATGCAAAATGTTGCTTCAAGATTGGCTTGCGTCGGCACCTGAATTACTGATAGAGAGTGAAGTAGTCGAGCGTGTTGACCGCTTCACGTATCTAGGTAGTCTCATCGCTGCTGATCACCTGGTGACTGACGAAATCTCAGCACGGATACAGAAGGCTCGATTGGCTTTTGCCAACCTTCGTCACCTATGGCGTAAGCGAGATATCCTTTTGCTAAACAAAGGACGAGTGCACTGTGCAGCAGTTTGCTCGGTCCTACTATACGGATACGAAACATGGCCGGTAAGAGTAGAGCACATTCGCCGATTATTAGTATTCGATTATAGATGACTTCGAAGCATTTCTCGTATACCCTGGGACAACTGTGTAAGCAATGCTATCATTAGGAAACGAGTACTAAGTAGGGATGGCAAATGGATAGATAAGTATTGAAACTCCATCAGTTGATGTGACTGGGACATGTGTTACGAATGCCCAACCACCGACTGCCTCGTCGAGCTGTTTCACTACACAGGAATAGGTTGTACGATAGCTAGGAGCAGCCAGTCCAAAACATGGCAGAAATCCATGAAGTCACTGACAAGTGGACCGAGTCGTGTTGGTAGATGTAGGCTACCTGGTTAGGGTCTACGAGATCATAATAATCGATGGTTAGAGACCCTGAATGACATGGCTCAAAACCGTCTGTAATGGCACATGTGCATTTACTGAATTCCTCATCACCCCTATCTTTCTCTTTCTAAATTTGCCTCACTGAATTATACTTCAGTAGTTCAGGTGCCGACGCAAGCCAATCTTGAAGCAACATTTTGCATTTCGAGGTGGAAAACCGCATCCCGAATATGCTTGCATTGTTGCTCAGGGTCGTCGGAAGACTGCATTTTGTCAGCGTCTTCACCGAATAGAACTATGTCATCGGCATATTCTAGATCAATAAGCGAGTCTCCTGGTAGAAGGTCTACTCCTGAGAATTCAGACGACGATTAAGTTATATCTACGAAGTTCTACGTTGTAACTAATTGAGTGACTATTTAAAATAATAGCATGAATACAATCAACCTCTCTGTGTATATATATGCTACCGGATAAATAGGAAATTTCATAGGAAATGAGCAATGAATACAAGAGAGTGACTGCAGATATTGACACATGAACAGTAGGTTGCTAAAATACATTTAAGAAGTAGATAAATAGAAAAGATGGAGTTAATGGTATTAGAGTTTCTTTATCAATAACTCCAAGAGGAACCCAATGAAAAGAAAACACTATCTTACAAAACAAAACAAAATTTCCAAGATATTTCCTAAACTCTATACATGTATATATGTCCATAAAAATCTAAATAAAATTACCTGGTAAAGACGTTGTTACAACTGAATTATTACTACCATCTGTATTAACCTCATGTTCTTGACGCATGCGCTGATCCTCCATTGATACTCTGAGAGCATACAGTAAATCAGGATCCTCTGCTCCATCTAATCCAAACTCTAAGCCTAAGCCGGCACCAGCCATCCCAGAACCATCCTCACCCGCCACAACTGGGCTCGTCATTAAAGTATCATGTAAAACTGTTCCCGGGGCAACAGATATAAGATGAGAGCCTGTACCATCCTTTCCATTTAGTGTATCTATGAATTCTGACAACTTTTGTTGATTTGCCTCATTCTCACCAAAATTAATAATATCCACATTTACTTTCTCTTTCTTGAGACGTTTAGCAAGCTTAATTAGCTAAAAG